ATATATTAATGGCCAGAGTAAGTCATGTTGTAAGTTTTCTTCTCACTGCTTATTTCCAATTCTGTAGTTATTACTCCCCAGGCAACCACTGTTAAGTTTCTGGAGCGTCTTTCTAGAGATAGGCTATACATATTCAAGGATATATAGATATATACATACTGCATATACTGTTGTGTTTCTTTCTTTTTTTTTTTTTCTACCTATAATTTATCTAGAAATGGTAACATTGCAGCACATGTAGATAAGGCATACTTTTTAAAATGGCCACAAAGTGTTCCAAAATTCAGTGAACCATCTTTTATTTAACAGCAATGGTCTTTTGATGTGTGAACTTGCATTCCTTCCCATCCAGCACCTCTACATCACAGCCTTTCTGGGGATACATTTTGGGTTTTGTACATGGGGTTGGTCATCCAAACACTAGTAATGTCACGTGGAAGATGGAGTGTCTGGTCCCTGTACAACATTAAGCTAAAATCAAGCATATAAAGAAATGTTGATGTTTGTTCTTCAGCTCAATCAGTAAACTTTTTGAGTTGTGTTAAGTCTGTCACTCTCTCTGATCTTGCAATCTCCTAATTTATAAATTGGAGATAATAATTATTTCCTTTATTAGCTATACTTTTTTTTTTTAACCATTCCCCAGAGAAAACTACTATTTATCTTGTGATATTTACTTTTATTTATTTAAAAATTTTTATTCTGATTTGGGTGAAAGTTTATAGAGCAAATTAATTTTCTATACAGACGTTCAAACTCATTTTCTTTCATGATATTGACTTCAATTCCCCAGAGTGTAACAGCTCTTTTCCTACTTCCTCCCCATAGTCACCTCTTCTCTATGTCCTTCCCTCCCATGTAGTCCCAACTCTCCCACCAGTTGTCTCCCTGTGCAAACACTGCCCTTCTGTTCTGCCATGATTGATCACTCCAAGGAGTGTATCTATCTTTTGTAAATGTTTATCCCATACCTGTCTCTTGTTTAGCTGGAAGCCATAGGAGTGAGTTCAGTTCCAGACCTGAAAGGTAACTAAGAGCCATAGGCTCAGGGGTCTCACCAAGCTCTTTCAGACCTGGTCTTTTATTTATTTATTTTTTTAATGGTTTTGAGTTTTGTTCCACATTGTTCTCCCACTCTATTGAGGATCTCCTGCACCAACCCCCCTCTGAGTGGTTGACAGTGGTGACTGGACACCATCTAGTTCTTCTGGCCTCATGGTTATATATGCCGAGGATCATATGGTCTACTAGTCCCTTGGACTAATTGTTTCCATGTATCTTTGGTTTTCTTTATTCTTTGCTCTGTATGAGGAGAGATCCATCATTGCATCTAGATGGCTGCTTGTATACTTTTAAGACTCCAGTCGCTACTCACCAAAGTAGGAAGTGGAACAATGTTTTTGTGTAGTATGTTATGCCAATTGAGCTTGATATTTCATGCCACCCATGGTCCCAAGCCCACGGGTCCAATAACTTGCTCCCTCAGAGTAGGTGGCTGTGGTTAAAAAGTCACCATACACCTGGAAATTCTTACAGCACTTACAACTATGTTTGTGGAAATATTGTCTACCAGCCTTATATATGGTCATGGGCACACTCCCCCCTGCCTAGACATACCTGATCATTCAGCTTGTCCACCCATCTATCCACCTGTAGATCAAGGCTTGCCATCACTAACAACGCAGAACTGTACATGCAAAAGAGTTCATCTTTGTTGTCTATATATCTGAATAGGTACATTTACTTTTAGTGCTCTCTTTGTAGCCTATTTTTTTTTTTTGTTTGTTTGTTTGTTTTAAAACAATATTAATTATATTTGGAGATTTGTGGTAGTTAAAGTTATGTGTCAACTTGGCTGGGCCTGGTTTTGAGTGGCTGTGTAGCTGGATGTAGTATTCTCCATGATGAAACTGGTAGTCAACTCCATGGTGGAATCTACTGTGAGCAGCTGAGTAGTTGCCTTAGGAATTTGGTCTGCTCCCAGTATAAAGGAGAAGCTTTAGGAATGGTCTGCAGGTTTTGGCATGCTTGAATCCTGCAAGTAGCCAAGTTGTTGTTCAGCAGCCTGCTATGGTGCCTGCCAATCTTGAGACTCTTAAAAGATGAATCAATGGCCTGCTATGTGGTCTGGTAATATCAGGACTGTGCCTTTTTACTTGTCAACCTTGGGTTTGTCAGCCTCAGCAGCCAGCAACTGCCTGAGTGAAGAAAGCCTCCAGCTTCAGTGGGCCAGTAGCAAGAGGCAGAGCTGAAGCCCAAGGTTGAGGGGTTTCACCCAGCCCCTAGAGCCTGGTACTCTGAACTCAGATTTCTAGCCTCCCAAACTTAAGAGAATAAACTCCTGTTTGTTGAAGCCATCTCATTTGTGGTATTTTTTGTTAGAGCAGTATGAAGTAACCAAAACAGCATTTACTACCCCCATGCAAACACAAATTCTGTATAAAAAAATTGAATGGCTATATAATTTATTATTGTGTATCATAATTTATGTAACCATTTCTCTGTTCTGGGACACTTAAGTTGTTTTTATATTTTTATTTTTATAAATAACTCTATGAGAAGTACTTTTACACATGAAGGATGGATTTGATGAAGTGGAGTGAGTGGGTTAGTGGTTGCTCAGCCCTATATCTCATTGATATGTGTTGCCAAGTTGTCCATTCAGGAAGATGGTGCTAACTTTTAACTACATCAACTGTGTATGAGAATGCCTGTTTCCTCACACTCAGGATAAGAATGTATATGAACTCTTTTTTAAAAATTTAAATAAAAATGTAACATACCCTTGTTTAGACAGTTTTATATTACTATTAGTAATTGATCTTTAGAAACAGTTTTTGTGTGAATCAATTACAAAAAGTATAATTATAAAAAGTAATAATTGGAAACAATACAGCAAACCTTTATTGTAATAGAAATAGCACATTGATCAATTGTATTAGAGTATGTAACACATTTCTTTCTGTGGTTTGTTTTGGTGAAGTGTTTTAAATATGGAGAAAGTTGGATTTTGGGTTGATTAGAGGTCTGTTTTGCCACAGAAGTACTAGCAGAGAAAAACAGAATTTTTTGTTTATTGTGCTCAAACATGCTAAATTAAAAATTATACTTACTCTGAAAAAAAAATTCTTAAATTCCGAATCATTTGTATTTAAACAAAAACAATAGCAGTAATAATAAATAATAATGTAAAAGAACAGAATTATGAAGTTGATCTTGTATATTACTAAATGATGTCATTCACTGTTTTAGACTTAAATAAATAAGCCTCATATTTTACATTATTTAAATATGAGTTACAAGAGTTTAAAACTATCATCAAATAGCTTTGATTAATGTGGCACAATATTATTAATACTATAGTGCTAATGACTTTGTGCTGGGATTTGAAAATAAAATCTTCAGCTGCTCTTTTTCCCCACTCAAACATACAGAAATGATAAAATGAACCCTCCAAAATTACATTGAAACTTTAACTCTAAGAGTGAAATCAGTTGTTTCTGTTATCTCTTCAACGATTGTGCATTATTTCCTTTTGGACAATATCTTGGCTCCACACCAAGGGAAAATAACTGCATATTTTAAGGCAAAATTTTCACCCACCCTTGTTTTCCAAATGGACACAATTTTCTTTCATTTTGCCCATCATAGTGGTTAGAGGCATATTTTAAAAAAGTAACATTTTATTCTCCTCATATGGGCATTTTGTATCTTATAAAAAGTTATTTTTTCAACATTATTGTTTATTTCTTGAGGTTCTAAGATGTTCAGTGCAGCTTGCTATCCATGGTTTATATGGCTTTGTATGTATTATTAGTGAACTTCTCAGTTGTAGGATGTTGTTTTTATAATTCTATAATTGCATATTTTTATCTTTGAATTTTTAACTCCTCCCTCTTAAAATTTAAGGTATTAATTATTATTATTTTTTAAATTTCTACAGTGTTTTCACAAATGGAAGATTATTTATTCCACCTGTAAAAATTATTATACCCAAATTCAGTCTGTCAGATTGGAATAACGTGCTGGCCATGATTGGAGAAAAAGTCTTCCCCCTAGGAGGTGTTCGAAAGTAAGGAGACTCTCTCACCTATAGGAAAACCAAAAGCCATAGTAGTTTATTTTTGTGCTTTTATGGGAAATTTTCCTGCATGGATGAGCAAGGTTTAAAATAATTAATTCATCATAAACTCTGCTTTACAGCTTTTCCTTTACTGAATTATTTTAGTTCTTCAAAAATGTATGATATTTTCTCAATCTTTGTATCATGCTATTTTTAACCAGTTTTCATTCAGTAAAGTTTATTGAGCACCTACCAGGTGTTAGGTGTGGTGAATGCAGCAAACCAAGACAGAGCCTTGCTCTCAGAAGACCACTACTGGATGGACAAACAGCTGAAGTTTAATAGGATACTGTAGTTGGTATAATGAAGGCCTCTAAATATGTCTGGAGAAATCTGGGGTAGGCTATGTGAAGGAGCCAGTGTTTCAGCTGAGACAGGTTAGTATGAGAAATAAATTCCATGTGAGCAAACACCATGCACAAAAGTGGTAGTGTAGAATAATGGCTATTAGCATTGGCTATTACATCAGACTTAGTCAAATCTCACCTCTGTATCTTTGTTACTGCAGGTAAATTCTTAACTTTTTGAGGCTTATTTCCTCATCTGGAAAATTGGAAGTAATAATAGTATATACTTTGGAGAGCTGGAATAAGATAATATATAAAAAGTGGTTAACATAGGGCTTGGTGTATAATGAACATTAAATGGGGATAGTTGTTATCATTATGATAATTGGTAAAACTTGAAAAAGCATGGCTTAATGAGGAAAATCTTACATTGTGTAATAAGACACAATTCAGTATTATTATGAGGGAAAGAGATAAAGTTGAGGCTGGAACGGCTGTCAGGGATCCAGATCATGAAGGCCTTATAGCCTATATGAGGAGCTTGTTATCAGGTAGCCACTGGATCACATTTGTTTGTAAGAAAGCTCCACGGGCAGTTAAGGAGCAAGAAGATGAGAGGAAGGCACCTAGTAAAAGGGCTGTGACAATAATCTGCCCAGGGTTATAGTGAACTGGTGAAACAGGCTAGTGGCCATGGGGGGTGGAGAGAGATGCTCAGGAGGCTGAAATTATATGAGGAGATATGGGGAGAGAGAAATCCATGAGTTTCCTGATGTGAGCAATTATACCATTAAGGTTCCTTTTTAGAAGGTGAGTTAGAGAAAGGAAGTGGATTTGGGTGTTCATGATTTTTTTCTTTTTCTTTCCCCAAGCATGTGGTGAGGTTTAATGGATCCATAAGAGAGAGTGCAGTTAACTCTGGTTAGTTACATGGAAGCAATGGTAGGACAGTTTTCATGGAAAGTCTTGCAAATCAGATCATACAGACATACACCTAGATCACATTGGGGTGATATTGACAATATAAATAATTATTTTAATGAAATTACATTGAATGAAGTTCATATTGATGATGAGTTGAGAAAGTCAAGTATGACATACCTAGGGAACAGCTAGGCTTGAGGCTGTAGATGGAGTTTGAGATTTGAGATCTTTGCTAGTTTTTGTAGTCTTCTTGGCATCAGGCTCCATAGCTATGGAGTACCTTGCCCTTTGCCTGTTGACAGTCCTAGATCATAGAACCCCGATTTGAGTCAGTTTAATGACTCTTTCTTCTCTCCTTGGATTTCCTGGGAGTAATGTTTAGAAATGCTCCTTGGAAGTGAGAATGGTCAGACTTTGTCTCACCTATTTTGGTCATGTTGTCAGAAGGTACCATTCCCTGGAGAAGGATGTCATGCTTGGTAAGATGGAGGGTCGACAAAAGAGGGGGAGGCCTTCAATGAGATGGATTGACATGGTGGCTGCAATGATGGGCTCAAGTATAGCAAGGATCGTGGAGCTGGCGAGGGATCGGGCAGTGTTTCGTTCTGCTGTGCATGGGGTTGCTATGAGTCGGAGACGACTCAACGGCACCTAACAACAACAACAATGTTTAGAAGAAACAAGAAAAAAGGAGACCACAAAGGACAGTGCAAAACAAACAAACAAACAAACAAACAAAAAAAAAACGAACACCAACCACAGTGGTGGAAGGTAATACAGAAGAGGGTATAACTGTGGGAACCAGGCTTAAAGGAAGAAGGATCACAACAAATGCCACAAATAAGTAAGGTGAGAACTAAAATATCCTCTTTGGATCCCACAATTGTAAGTTGGCCCTGCTAAGAGCAATTTCACATGGTTTCTACACTGTGGTCTGGGACCTGAGTGAAGGGTGAGAACACATAGACTGAGAGTGTGGAGTGGAGTGTGTCTTGTAAAAAGGAGGAGAAAGGAGATACAGAAGAGATAGAAATGGTTACTGGGGGGAGGGGGGGCGGGATCACAGGGGCAAATAGTTTATAATTGAATGTGGGAGACATTTGAGCACATTTATCTCCTGAGGATAAAGCCCTAGTAGAGGGGGAGAGGTTGAAGCAGGAAAGAGGGGAATACTTGGAACAAGGTCTTGAACAGATGGGTAGAAGGTAAACTGTGGTAGGTGGAGGGACCTCTTTCCCTCTGAGGTGGTGTGGAGATGAGGATGAATGCAGGTCTAGAAAAAATTTGAGGTTGGAGAGAAAGAATGTAAAGAAATTAATACCCAATAATCTTTATATAAGAGGGGGAAATGTAACATGAGAAAGGAGAGAGGGGAATGGGAAGGGCTTTAGAAGTGCACAGAATAGTAGAATTGCCAAGTAGGGCTGAAGACTCAGCTAGATTGAATACCACAGTTTTTAGGGGACCAACCTGCAGCGTTGAAGTGCTTTCTGACACTCAGCAGACCAGAATAAGAGAGGAGAAAGCAGAGGAATGGATTAAGTAAGATGTGGAGTGAATGTGGAGGACAAATAAAAGAGAGGTTTTGAGGTGAAGTAGGTTAAAGCAGAGCTGGTGGTGGAAGGACATGAAGCCAGAGACTCTGAAGTTCAGACTCAAGGGTTCAGTAATGAGAGTGGATCAGAGGGAGGCTGTACTGATAAAAGGCAAGAGAGAGCTAGAAGACTAAGAGGTTGTAGTGGGGGAGATTAAGACATCAGAATTGGTAACATATTTGAGGTAATGATCAGGGCCTAGGTATTGCTATGGGAGTGAGCTGAGAAAGTATAGGAAAGACAAACATCTTTAAAGTTGCAGAGTAAGGAAATATAGGGTATGATGCTGGGTGTTAAAAGAATCATCTTTATGGACAGTGATGGGCCTCTGAATGATGGTGGAAGAGCAAAAATGTTTACTCTTATTGACATTTTTTTTTGTCAATGAAAGGTACTCCATAGCTTTGGAGCCTGGTGCCAAGAAGAATACAAGAATACAAGAGAATTTACCCACTCTCTCTTGTGGGTAAATTAAAACATAAATGTTGATATACCCTCAACAGTTATGATACCAACAATTATAATTGATGTATCTACTTGTGAGTAGGATATAAACTGTTGGGGTTTGTAGTACATTTAGTGCAACCTATTAAGGTGGTGAATAATTAGGGTAGACCTAAATGTTCCAGGAAGTTAGATCATTGTATAAAAATCAGCATTGTAAATGAACAATTGATTCCAGTGTAGTATATATTAGTCCATTATTCTTAAAATTTGTCATACTTAGGTGGCTTGTGTGTTGCTGTGATGCAGGAGGTTATATCATTGGTATTTCCAACAGGGTCATCTGTAGTTGACAAGATTTAGTGGAGCTTCCGGACTAATACAGACTTGGAAGAGGGTTGGGGCCATCCACTTCTCAAAGAATTGGCCAGTGAAAAACCTTATGAATAGCAGTGAAACACTGTCTGATATATTTCTGGAAAATTTTATGAGTAGCCTTGAAACATTGTCTGATATATTGCCAGAATATGAGCCCCTCAGGTCAGAAGGCACTCAAAATATGAGTGGGGGAAAAACTGCCTCCTTAAAGTAGAGTCTACCTTAATGATGTGGATGGAGTAAAGCTTTCTGGACCTGCATTTGCTGATGGGGCATGACCCAAAATGGGAATAAATAACTTCAACCATCCATAATAATTGGAACATGGAATGTATTAAGTATGAATCTAGGAAAATTGGACGTTGTCTAAAATGAAATGGAACACATAAACATCGAAACCTACTGCCATTGAGTGAATTCCAACTCATAGAAACCCCCACTGGGTTTCTGAGGTAGTAAGTCTTTATGGAAGTATATTGCCCTGTCTTCCTTCCTGAGAATGGTTGGTGGGTTTGAAGTGCCAACCTTCTGGTTAGCAGTCAAATACCTTAGGCACTGTGCCACCAGACCGCCTTTCCCTAGGCATTAATGAGCTGAAATGGACTGGTGTTGGCCATTTTGAATCAGACAATCACATGATCTACTCTGCTGGGAATGACAAATTGAAGAGGAATGGTGTGGCATTCATCGTCACAAGGAATATTTCAAGTACACACATGCATATGTATGTATACTTACATACAATATGGAAAATTCTTTAAGTAAAATTGTGTGTGTGTGTGTCTGGGATTATTGCATGTCTTGGTATTGTTAAAAATGTGCCTTGAATAAGTATTTGTTGATTGCTGACTATGTGAAAGACACAGTGATAATCACTGGAGATACAACAGTGAGAAAAATAGGCATGGCTCTTATCCCCATTGAGCTTATGGTCTAGCAGAGGGGACAGATATCAAATGAATAATTACATTAGGACTAGGTAGTGTGTTTTATAAGAGAGGAACACATAAAAGGGAATATAATCCAGCCTAGGAATACCTTCCAGAAGAACTGGAGAATGGTAAGTTGGAGTAAGGCCAAGCAAGGTTTTTGAGTCACAACCCTGAAAGTTAGTGTCTCCTTAAATTTTGCACCATAGGCATCTCACTTGCCTTACCTTACTCCTGGACCTGGTTGGGGAAAATGAAAGTGGTAGGAGAAATATCTTGAGGTGGAAGCCAGGAAGACACATTCCAAGAAAGGAAAGAAGTTTACCATGGCTTGAGGAAATTCAGGTTGAGAGAGAATAAATTGTCCAAGGTTCTTTCCACATCACCTGCTG